TGATAGAAATAGTAGTTGTTTGAACCTGTTCGAGTTTCAGAAAGAATGGGAAAGACAGATTGGTTGCATGGAAATTAGAAAATATTTATTTCTCTGTGTTATACACACACACACAGAGAGAGAGAGAGAGAGAGAGAGAGAGAGAGAGAGAGAGAGAGTTATGCAGCGTTTATTAATTTAAGAAAATGTCAAGATATCTGCAAAGTGATATTGGCCCCAAATCAAGTAGCTATCATAGAAAGCATCAAACGTTGACGAGAAAGAATTGAGAGTTAAACTGTCAGATCATCCATTAAAAAAAAGATCTATCAAAAGATAGCTCAAGAGAAGTGAAATAAAGAGAAAAATCCCCATGGCTATCAGGATTATGAGGTATAAAGAGAATCGTTGAACAAAACCTGACAGAGAAAAATGAGAGAATTAGAGCAAGGAAAAGCAACCAAGCGAAGGACAAACTTTCCCAAACCCTAATAAGAGCCTACTTTGCATTCAGCTGACAGAAGGCCCTTTTATGTCACACAGGCATCCATAATCAGATGGCTAAAGCATCATCTCTGGTAAGCCTTTGGAACAGTAGGGGAAATACTGGAAGTGTTTGTAGGATGGAAAGGCCATTGAAATAGTGTTCTCCATCCCATTCTGATTTCCACTAGATACAATCCCATGAACTGATCTACTTCTCTTTTAGAATTATTTGTGCTCTTCGCCATCATTTAACCTTACAGTTACAAATTACATGATGATGTTCTGCACTATGTAAAATGACAAAGCCATTTTGTCATTCTTAAAAATTAATGTTGTTTCTTATGTTGTTACCTGTTTCCCCGAACCATGTCTGCATACTCTGAAACAATCATGTGATTTTCCCTTTTCCCTTTGTTAAACATTATGTCTTTGCTTGTTTTTTCCCCCTCTCTGACATTTCTTGTTCTTTTCATTATTTTATTTGGTTTTTTTTCTCACCTTTCCTTTTCCCTTTCAGTTTCTGAAATAGTGATGGGCTATTTCCCACCCTGGTGGTTATGCTGACAAATTGACAATGCTTCTTGCTGGATTTATGTTAACTGAAATCAGCATCCAGGTAGCAGTGTTGTGTGATGTAGACTTTCCAGTTGGCAAGGCAATGCCATGAGACTTTACTGAAGCTCACTAGAATTTGATTTGGTGTCTCAGAATGGAAAAAAGTCAGTGGCAACATTGCTAAGAGCTGAGTACATTATAAATGGTTGTATCAAATCAATCTTTTCCTCCTAAATTGTATTATTATTGTTACCTAGTGTTTAAATGCAACAGTTCCATTGGCTAATTAGACATCTGAGAGTAGATTTTTGCCCATTAAGACAATTTATCCTGAAAGATTTAAAATTGCTATTATTAAGCAAGCAAATGGTAACTTTGATTTCCTTCTGTCTCCACTTCTGAATTTACTACCATCTACCGACATCTTTGTTATAGAGAAGCAGTTACTCAATGTTTATTGGTATTGTTTCCCAAGATTTAAATGAGATATAAATTTTTATAGCAAGCATAGTATTTTAATGACTGTTTCATTATTTTACAAGGAGAACATGTATAGATACAAGAAATAATATTGATGGACAGCATGCCATTAAATAAACAAAAGCATTGCTTGAGTCATTTGTGTGCAAATCAGGATCTTCTTTTTTCATGCTTGGTTGTAAAATTATATACAGTCCAATATCTCCTGGTACAACATCACTTAAAAAAAAAATGATGCTGTGTGCTATCTGCTAGAGGAGAAGGAAGCTATCTTTGTAAAACTTGTAATTATGAAGTAATTCTATGAAATTTTTACTCTGAATTCCCTAATTTCCAGTTCATTCTTATTATTAGACTTAGACAGACTAGTGATCATGTGAGTATATTGCTATTAATTCACTCCTGCACATAGTAACTGATGGGGGGATTTTCACTGGACCTTCTCTTCCTTCAAACTCCATATAGCTCTAAAAATCTGCCTCAAGTGCTGGGATTTTTTTTTTTTTTTTTTAAGAATAGAATGGAAAGAAGCTTAAACAGCTTCAGTTTAAAGGGGAATTGGTAAAATTGGTTCCCTCTTCCATGAGCATCAGTCCTTTCAAGATGAAAGCCATGATCATTATAGAATATGGCTGATTACAAAACAGTCATCTGTCCAGAAGAAAGAACAGTCTTGTTGGGTTATTTCAAGACATTTCAAGGCCACTGCATTAGCATGGATTTGCTACTAAATTTCACAGAACACCAATTTTCAGATTATTTGTTTCATTATCTATCGTATATTATTTTGAGGAAAGTCAAAGAAGTTAGAAAGACATCTCTGGCAGTTTCTATAGATATCCTGTAACCACTGAATTTTGGATAAGTGGTTCATTTTATTTTTAGTCATTCTTATCCTATGTGAGAATATGACTTAATGTACAGTCTCCTTTTTATAAAGTATGAAAATTGGTGGCAACATTATATGATAGGATGAAACTGCAATAAACCTCTCTTTGGTATTCTTGCTTCCTTGACTGTTTAGATTTCTCATGTATTGGGATTTTGAATAAAAGATTTGTATGGCAAACCATCCAGTGTTATCCTTATGAAATTATTTTCAAATACTGCTTTTTCAAGTTGTGCTGAAGCAGGTGATATTCACCACTTGTTATGTACCTTACTTTTCACCTGCTTAAAGATTTTCTCAAAATAACTTGAAACCCATGATCTGATTAATTCTTTTCTTCAGTACAATTATTCCTTGTTTTAGAGGTTATAGCTATACTACCATTATTACTACAAACTAGAATTTTTACTTCTGTCCCAGTGGAGTAGGGAAAACATTACAAAATGTAATTCATTTGAATTGTGGCCAAGAAAGTTGGGAGACAAGTATTCTTAGTGTTTTAGTTGACAAGTGTGGCAGATAAGACAAATACACTTGTTTGAAATAGAAATGGTGAAATAGTATATATTTATTTATATGCTCATTTAGAAGTTAGCTCCTCCTCCCTCAAAAGCTCCTAGCCTTAAAATAGCTTTAAAGGGTTCCTCATAACTTTTTCATGACTCCAGTTCTCAGAATGTGGTAAGAGCTGCCATCCAGGCAGATTCTTAAAATTCTTGCAAGGGCTCTAATATCAGGATGACTTAAGGAGGCAAGGACATAATTGGTGCATGGTTTACTTTTTATTCTTCTCCTCCCCCCTCCCCCCTTAGCCCATCAGCTGTCAGCTAGATGTGAATATCCAGAATGTTGTTGCTGCAATGGGCCATTCTCAGAAAATGATTAAATGACAGGTTGTAGGTACAGCAAGAGAATCTTGCCAAACATGTCATGGAAAGAGATTGATGTTCATTCATGATGAGAGGCCTTGTTGGAGGAGAGGGATCTTCAAGTTTATGTCATCATTCAGCAGGCTAGAATAATAATACAGTGATCATGAAAGTTAAGCTTCATCTGATCACAGAGGCAAGTTCTGGAGATGGAGAGAGAGAGAGAGAGAGAGAGAGAGAGAGAGAGAGAGATTCTGTCTGTCCATCCATCCATCCATTTATTTTGTGGCATAATTGCTTGCTCAATTCCCTTTATTACTCCCCATAATATGCTTGAAAAGTTTTATTTGTATTTCAGGGACTATGAGACTGTCCTCATTTAGAAATATAAATGTAGAAATTACTGGTGCACATTTGACAGCTGTAAGTGCTTCCACTGGCAACATGTCTGTCTTTTTTGCAGGCAAAGAAATATAGATCTCTACCCTCTACATTATAATCATATGCCAAATAGTCCCCACCCTTCAATTGCATTTCCTAGTTTTATTGCTGCCTCCTCTCCATATTTAAATTACTTGCTTCTGTTGGGTCAGTCTTGGGTTCATTAAATATAACAAAAGCAGATGTCCTAAGGGAGGAGGAAAGTATTCAGAGTGAAAATGTTTGTAAAGGGATACAGATTTCAGATTTAAAGAGCTCAGACTTGGGAATTGTTCAGAGCATTGATATCCATAACTCAATCCCCTTCTCTGTGTCTTATTTGCATGCACATCACCATGTTCTTCTATTCTGGAGTGCCCCAAAAGGCCAGAATCAACTAATTATATGTACTTCCCTTATCCTCCCAAGATAGTATATAAATTTCTCTTATGTTGGTCCATGTTCAGAATTATTATTTGATTCAGTTTCTTAGTGGACATAATTTCCTCAAAATTTTATTTATATGATCAAGTGTATATTGAGTAGTTACTTTTAGTGAGGAATATGCTAAAGAAATTCTTTGCCATGTTTTCTGAAGCTTGCAGTTGACATCTAGAGTGCCTTTTTTATATAAGCCCACTGATATTTGTTTTGAGGTGCTAATATATGTCCACCCCAACTATGGGTTTTGGGGACTTTAATAGTCTTGTTTTAAACATTTTATTTAATTATCTCCAATGTGGTTGGTTAATTGTACATTGCTTTGAAGATACTGGGAAGTCTGAAAGTGAAATAATAGATGTTTTGAATTTGACCTTTTTAATATGACTTGTAGGAGATTTTGAAAACATGGTTTTGCAACTCATAAATGTGATGACAAGCAAGTAAATGCAGTTGCAATATGTTCTCCTTTATTTTTCAAAGGTATTCTGATTTAAAGGTGACAATATTTTAACAAGGTCAGTCCCTAATGTAGTAGCATCTATTGTGGTGCAATCTATATATCGTTAGACAGTGACTCCTATTATTTTGCATTGCTGTGCCACCTAGGGCTGATAATGATTGGAAATCAGTAATGTGTGGATGGTTAGGTGTTGCCATCCCTGAACTCCAAGGAAGACTAGTTTGAGCAGTTGGCCCAAAGAAAGCGGTGGTCATTGAATCCCTACAGAGTAAGAGGATGTGTATTGTGCACACCTGACATTTGTCAACATAAAGGAAATGATATGTGAATTGATGAACATTTGTTCCTCCCTATCCTATCCTTCATAGTGATACTAATGATCTTTATCTTGATTAAGGTACTTATCAATTTTTTTTAGGTGAAGATGTAACTGATGATTTTTGTGCTGACTCTCCTTCGCCTTCCAAAACAACAACTTGTGAAGTACCCTGTGGAATGGACTGTGTTGTGACTGAGTGGTCACAATGGTCACCTTGTTCTCACTCATGTTCCAATAAAAATTCAGATGGGAGGCAAAGCAGAACAAGATCTGTACTGGCATTACCAGGAGAAGGTAAACAAATTTTCAGCTTATTTGCTTGTTTCCAAATAGAATTCTTGTGAAATAGCAAAGTTGGCATTGTGCTTGGGAATCTTTTTCTAACAGAAGATACTGTAAATGCTCAGGTTTCATTCTAGTAGTTTCCAAACACTTAGATGTCCTTAGTCCTTAGATCACAGTCTTCAGATCACCAATACTTGAGAAAATGTATTGTCTTTATGAAAATAAATATTTGAGGTGAATAAAATTGTAGTCTAAGAAACCTTTTTTGATAGTGTTAAATTTTCAACATAGAATTACATCTACCTTTTTTTTTTTTTTTTTACTATGACAGTAGTGCAGTTTATCTCCTGTTCTAAAGTCTTTATAGTTTTATACTGGAGGCTGCCATACTAACAGAAACCACAATCAATAATTGTTATGAATGCAGATGGATAGAATTATCAGATGCAAGTTTTTAAAAGGTAAAAACCTATATATATATAGAAATAGAGAGGATGTGGAAAGTAAAGGCCAAAGTGGTCCCAGTGGTGGTAGGAGCACTCGGGGCCGTGACTCCTAAGCTGTAAGAGTGGCTACAACAGATCCCAGGAACAACATCAGAGCTCTCTGTCCAGAAGAGTTGCAGGGCTAGGAACAGCTAAGATACTGCGCAGAACCCTCAAACTCCTAGAGTACCTGAGATTGAGGAAGACATGTACCACCCATAGGGGTGAGAGCAGAATTTTATAGTAAAGGATGGTATGCAGTGGTTTTGGCTTTTCAAGGTTGTGTTCCATTTCACATTCCAATTCAGTGGTTTCCCAAGTGAATTATTTAATTAGTTCTAATAACGGTTATTATTAACTTACAACTTGGGAGAAAAAATTACACCTACAAAGTTATATATAATATCCATCAATCCATTATAACATTAAATTGTAGATGATAACTTTGGAGTCATGATATAATGAAGTTTTTAATATAGTACATGTATGTATGCATGTGTGTATGTGTGTGTGTGTGTAGTCCTTGGGGTTCTCTGAGCTTGGTTCTTTTCTTGCAATCCTTTCATTACCTGGCTAGGTAACATCTTCAGTGCTAAAATGGGATGGTGTTTGCTTTCTGTTTATGTGCTGTGGCCTGCCTTGTCAGTGCTGGTAGGGGTGGGGGTTTTGTTTTGCTCCTCTGGTAGTTCTTTGATTAGCATATGTTTACTGCTTGATTGTGTGCCGGGTGGTAACCTTTGCTTATCTGGGTGATGACTGCTGGTGATGATTGAAGGTGATTGATTGCTGGTGAGGCGATCTTCTGGTCTTTTGTCTCTTTTGAATAGTATGTAGATGCTGTTTATCTCTATGAATTGCTGCCTTGTCTGAATACCAGGCTTCCAAGAATTCTCTTGCATCTTTGGATTTAGC